GTGACATGACGTACGCCGGGGTGGAGGGGAGGCTAGACCGTCCAAATTCACAGCCTCTTTCTTCTGGTCTTTCCGGTCTACCAAGGACCTGGCCCGCCGCGACCGGGTAGTCTGGGTCCTCCGGAGGACCCGGCCTGTCGTTTTGGACACAGCCAACATGTGTTCATTAAAAGTCATAGGAATGGTTCATGTGGTCCAGAAGTTTGGAGTGCAACTCCAACACCGAACACAACTGCAAGTTTGATGCCTTGTAGCGATGCGTTAGCAGCATTAGCAGCATTAGCAGCATTAGCAGCGTTAGCAGCATTAGCAGCGTTAACAAGCTGACTGCTCTACAAGCTGTGCCGTTTAAAATAATCCTTTAAGACATTTTGAAGGGTTAGGGTCACAGCTGAGATGTTTGGTCACATGTAAGGTGTGAATTAAATCTGATGTGTCTTTAGCTGATGAATACAGTTTTAGCAGTTTTGTGTTTTAAAGTCCTGGATGCCTGAGAGGCTCCAGCACCACATCAAAAACTTACTGTTTCTCCATGATTTTTTTTTATTTTAATTTTTTTTTTGTTTTACAAAATAATCTTCTGCAAGTTTTAAATATATTGTGTTGGTTAAATTATGCAAATTCTACTGAAATATATTCTAAAAAATTTTGGCTGTTAGGCAACAAACTGGAAAAACAGCCGGAGGGAGTTTTATTAAATACATGAATTAATTTTAAACTTTACTGTTTGTTCAAAATATTATACTATAAAAACTTTAAATAAGAGAATTTTAAAAGTTCTGCACATTACAGCAGTATTTTACTGAAATTCCTCTCTGCTGTTTGCCACTGCTCCTGAATTCACTTCACACACAAACACACACACGTTTGTTCTTCTATCGTCATGTGGCCTTTGAATTGACATCCATTCATTTATATACTGTATGTACAGCCTAACCCTAACCCCGGACCCTAAACCTAACCTCACAGGTACATACCTGACCCTAACCTCACAGGTACACACCTGACCCTAACCTCACAGGTACACACCTGACTCTAACCTCACAGGTACACACCTGACCCTAACCTCACAGGTACATACCTGACTCTAACCTCACAGGTACATACCTGACTCTAAACCTAACCTAAACTCAACCTTAGGTTTAACTCAGACCTCTGACCAACCACTGGTATTCCCCCCAGTGGGGACCAGACTTTTGTCCCCATAAGTAACAGTGGGTCTTCATTAGGCTGTGTGTATCAGGAAAATGGTCAAAAAAATGTACACACACACATGCGC